CTTTTCTGTTCAGAAGCTCCTGTCCACCATTAAAACCGTCTTTCCAAGCAGCCTCCATGTTTCCAGTGTCTTTTTCCCCACTTGGAACTGAATCCAGAAGGACTTTTCTTCCAACAGTGTGAAGCGACGCAGCTGAATGAAGGCAGGATGTTGACACAATCCTCTTGTGCCAGCTGAACAAAAAAAATTCCACCAATCAAATCAAAGAGCAGAGAGTTTCTCCTAGGTTGGAACTTAAGAAAAATACAAGGGGAAAAAAAAATCCAGCTCAAAACAATGTAGAACAGAATAGAACAGAACAACAGAGTTGGAAGGGACCTTGGAGGTCTTCTAGTCCAACCCCCTGCCTAGGCAGGGAACCCTATCCCACTTCAGACAAATGGCTGTCCAATCTCTTCTTAAAAACATCCTGGGATGGAGCTCCTACAACTTGGCAAACTGATTAATTGTCTTCACTGTTAGGAAGTTTCTCCTTAATTCCACGCTTCTCTCCTTGATTAGTTTCCATCCATTACTTCTTGTCCTGCCTACAGGTGCTTTGGTAAATAAACTGACCCCCCCCCCTCTTTGTGGCAGCCTCTCAAATACTGGAATACTGCTATCATAGCACCCCTCATCCTTCTTTGATCTAGACTAGCCAATTATTAGTCTAGACCTGTAATTATTCTTCATACATTTCAGTCTCCATCTTAGTTGCTCTTCTCTGCCCTTTTTCCAAAGTCTCAATCTCGTTTTTGTAATGGGGTGACCAAAACTGTATTCCAGGTATGGCCTTAATAAGGCTTTATAAAGCGCTACTGATAACTTCACGTGATCTTGATTCTATGCCTCTGTTTATGCAACCAAGGATCATATTAGCTTTTTTGGCTGTTGCCACACATGGTTGGCTTATGTCTAATCATATTCAATATGTTTGGTAACATCATCAGTGCTAGTGGGGAAAAAGATGCAAAGCCAAACCCAGTGTTTCCCCACCTGAACCACTTTAAGCGGTGTGGACTTCAACTCCCAGAAGTCCCCAGCCAACTGGCTGAGGAATTCTGGGAATTAAATAATAAGCTGAGAAACACTGCTTTGCCACATTTTCCTTTCAGTTTTTTTTCCCCTTTCTTTATTTGTAATTGCATTGTGTTGTTTTATGTAACAGTCACAATGCCACTATAAACACTGTATATCTCTGGAGTCCTGGTGATTTCATTGAATAAGAATAATAACAGAATTGGAAGGGAGCTTAGAGATCTTCTAATCCAACCCCCTGCTCACTCAGGAAACCCTAAACCATTTCAGACAAATTGTTATCCAACATCTTCTTAAAAACTTTCAGTGTTGGAGAATTTAGAACTTCTGGAGGCAAGTTGTTCCACTGCTTAATTGTTCTAATTGTCAGGAATTTTTTCCTTAGATCTAAGTTACTTCTGTGATTTGATTAATTTCCATCCATTGCTTCTTGTTCTGTGCTCAGGTGCTTTGGAGAATAGGTTGACTCCCTCTTCTTTGACCAATCTACATAACATTGTTGTCATTTGGAAAATTTATTTCACTTCCTGGTTATATTTTTCTAGCCAATTATGAGTCAAATTTGATCTTTCTTTTACTCTTTAAGAGAACCAGAAATGGCTAAGTATTCCTACTTTGTCAGATCATGTATATAACATTAAAACAAAACAGTCAACTGTTTTAAAATAATCAAAACTAAACAGTCCAGGCCTTGCACAGATTATACAATCATTCATTGAAGATCATTGATGCAATAAAGCCAGGAGTTTCCATAACTGCTCCTTTGATTTGTGCAAAGTACTTGTAGATATTAAATGAGCCCTGGTGGTGCATTGGTTAGAATGGAGTATTGCAGGCAAACTCTGCCCACTGCCAGCAGTTCGATTCTCACCGGCTCAAGGTTGATTCATCCTTCCATCCTTCCGAGGTGGGTAAAATGGTAAACCGTTTAGAGAGGGCTGTAAAGCTCTGTGAAGCAGTGTATAAGTCTAAGTGCTATTGCTGCCTTCCTTCCTCCCTCTCTCCCAGTGGTTAGAATGCAGTATTGCAGGCTAACTCTGCCTACTGCCAGCAGTTCGATTCTCACCAGGCTCAAGGTTGACTCAGCCTTCCATCCTTCCGAGGTTGGTAAAATGAGGACCCAGATGGTTGAAGACAATATGCTGACTCTGTAAACCGCTTAGAAAGGGCTGTAAAGCACCGTGAAGCGGTGTATAAGTCTAAGTGCAATTGCTATTGCTATTAACCCAGGAAGAGTTAGGAAGCATTCCAGTGTCTGAAATGAGTACCAGTCAGAGAAATTCAGGGAAAATTGAACACAAAAACTCAGAAAGTATGCTGAATTACAGGTAGTTCTTGGCTTATGATGACAATTGAGCCCACATTTCTGTCGCTAAGTGAAATCATTCTTAAGTGAGTTTTGCCCCATTTTATGACCTTTCTTGCCACTGTTGTTAAGGGAATCACTGCAGTTGTTAAATTAGCAACACGGTTGTTAAGTGAATCTGGCTTCCCCACAGAGTTAATGTATCAGAGGGTCATAAAAGGCGATGACACGGCCATAGGACACTTCAACTGTCATAAATATGAGCCAGTTGTCCGAATTTTGATCCTATGGCCATGAGGAAGCTGCAATAGCAATAGCAATAGCAGTAGACTTATATACCGCTTCATAGGGCTTTCAGCCCTCTCTAAGCGGTTTACAGAG